AGAATGCATGATGTGGCCCTGTAAGAATTTCTGTTCCTTAATACACCCATTTGTTTTCTTTCTTTGTGAAGTTTTAAAACTGTTGTTCCATTGTCAAGCGTGGCAGACCGAATCCCTTTGGAAATTTTATCAGGATGGGCCATAGACACCGTGTGGATGGAGGGAGTGGTCAGTTGCACAACCATTATGGTGAGATATGACAAAGAATGCAAATTTTGCAGCTGGCAGCATGTAATCCCTGCCTCCCTCCCACTTCTTTGGCTCCATCCCCCTGCCTAAATCCATTCACATAACTCTGGATTTTGAGTTATGGCCTATGCATGTACAAGCACGATATGCTGAAGTGTCTGACTATTTCATTTCCTATCTGCCTGGTTAGAAATGCTTTTTTGAGTATTTTCATGAGGATTGCTTAATGCATATCAAGTAGAACTGCTTCTCTGAATCAGCAAGACATAGGCAGAAAAAGGTGACAAGAGATACAAGGTTTGTGGGAGAAGACTGGAACAGCAGCTCCAAGACTCAGCTGGGAAGAAAATGAAGGACATGGTGACCCAGTATTGCTAAATGGAAATTAAATGAACACTATAAACACAGAAACTAAAAGTGAGAACTTACTGCACTTAGTATATAAAACAACATTTGTTCACTGAAACTAATATTTGCTGAAGGCACTTAATCTCTTTGGCCTTGTAATACAAAACTCACCAAATCTAGACAGTCCTTTAATGTTAGGCAGCCTAATGGGGTATGGTATATGGTAATGAGAAATGGGGTATGACTGAAGTCTGAATGCTGTAAATGTCAGTGTTTGGATTAATAGACACCTCATAGCAAAGCAGAAACATTCTGTGAAAAGTAGCACAGTACTATGTACAAAACTGATTATTAACTCTAATTTCTGACAATTTGAGTCATTTTTCTTAAGGCAATTCCAGAAGTTAAAGTTCCTCTCCTATTTTAGCAAATGATGGTGTGATGCAGTCTGTATTTTGACTGCATTTTAAAATAAACTTATATTAAGACATGCATTCAATAAAAAAGGAACAGGCATTAAAATCGTACCATATGACAAACTGCCTTACAAGAAATATCTTTGTCGCTTCAGAATTCTGCTAGCTTCAAGTGCAACCTGACCCAGCTGACCCCATTTCGGTCCTGTGGGATTAAGGGTCAAGAAGAAGATTCTGATGTATGGTTTGTGCAGATTAGCAACTCTGCAGATTTTGTACGTGCCATACAAATTATAGGTCCTTGTTGAAGTGTAGATTTGCACTGTTTCCAGGATCTTTAGCAGAAGACACAGAGTGGCAGTGCTTTCCAGATCCATTCCCCTTTGCTACCTCTTCACTCAGAGACATTATGTATCCTCCCCCTCACTCACTGCCCCAGAAACTCGTGCTCATTTCTGTCCCCTTTACTGGCTGCCAGTGCATGCAATTAGAAGCTGGCTAGAGGATGGAAGCACCGGTGCATAAACAGGTAGAATCCTCTCCATAGCCTATGAACCAACTATTCACAGTGGGATATATCCTCCACCTGCTGTGAGGGACACGGTCACATTTAGAGTGTTCTGTCTGCAGTTCTGCTCAGAAACCTTACAAGACATTAATCTTAAACAAAGGAAGGACTACCTACTGTGCACCAAACATGTCCTAATGGTACTGGGAACAGACTGTTGGACATGGTCTAGATATGTCCCTGTCTAGGCATCTCTCTACACACTTATCTGAAAATATTCTCACGTTTTACTCACTTCGGGTAACTTCTGAGAAGTTGTAAACTTTACCTTCCGAGTTCTCATTCTGGTAAAAGGTGCTTTTTTTTCCCCCCCAATAAAGTCTCTGTAAGTATTTTCCAAATCTAATTAAGTGCATCTACATAAACTTGATGATCAAGTATCTGTTCATGGCAAAATGAAGTAGAGCAAATTCTACGTTATAAAGAACAATTATTAGAATATGCAAAATGTGTCCAGAGGACCATGCATCTGATGGCTGTGACACTGTGACCATCTGGAATAGCCACTCCAGATCTTGCAAAGCAGGACCAACGTTTGTGAAAGGAGAACAGGGTACTTGCAATCATCAGTAACAACGGAGACGAAGACAAAAGGGTGCAGAGAAAGTGGTTTTTAAGTGAAAAAAGACACTAACAAGTAGTGAAACTTCAGGCTTCCCAGATCCCATGGCCGAACAAGAACCTGAATGGTCAGAGGAGTCCGTGCTTGACAGGGAACTGGGGCAGCATGCTGCGGACAGGCAAGACTGCCACTCTTCAAGCTCCGGCTCTGCAGCCCCAATTCTGCCCTGTTGCCACTGGTTATTTCATTTCCCAGTGAGTAAGTGTACCCATGCCCCACAAGCCCCTCTCCCTACAGATGCCTCTGTTCTGCTACCAAGCCACTTTTCTCGCGAAATGTGCTGTTCTTCCTCTTACCTCATGCTTTCACACTGTTTTCCGAGCTCAGCGAGTACTGGGAGATTCTCAAATACCCACACGCTGCAAAGTGCGCACGAAAATACCCCGTGCCCGTTCGCACGAGCAGCTTCGAGCCGCGTACCGACCTGGCGAGCAGGAAGGGACGTCGTCGCGACCTCGAAGAGGTGCTGCCGGGCAGCAAGAGCCCTCCCGCGGGCGGCTGCGCGCCAGCTGCGATTCCGCGGAGCTCGGGGAGAGGCAGCCCAGCTCCTCGCCGCTCAGCCCTGCGAGGAGATCGCGGAGCAGCCTCGGACGCGCCCCCCTCCCGGCTCCCCGCGACGCTTCACTCACCGGAGAGCGCGGGCTCGCGGCAGCAGCTTAGCGCCAGCCCTGAGGG